ATGGCCGTTTACATACCTGCCACAGGAAACAGATGCAAAGTCATTTTAATATGTGAGAATTTTTATATTTTAAGAATTAAAGTACAATTCTTTTTTCTTTTCTTTTGGTATTTTCACCTTTATTATGACAGGACAGATCAGAGCTAACAGGAAGTGGGAGAGAGGGGGGGCGGAATTGGGAAAGGTCCTCGAGTTGGGATTCGAACTCGGGACACCCGTAGCGCAACGGCGTTGTATGTCAGTGCACTGACTACAAGGCTTACATATAATTCTAAATGATCAATTACATTACATATAAATAATCATTTATTTGTAATATTTACTGTAAGTCACCACACAGACTAAAAATATCAACTTAAGCACTCACCTTCCACAATGCACGTTCAAACACGTCAGGCAAACCCATGGACTTTTGTTTGACCGGCAAACTACAAAACATCAAAATATACTGTATATGAGTAACATCCATGATATTATTTGGCATTTTACAAATGTATAAAACAAAGAACATTTTAATCATTTTTATTTTATATATTTTTTTTAATTAATGATTTTCCCTACACATGTAAAATAGTCAGCTTCTCTTGGGCTTAAAATACAAAAAAAATACGTAAGCAATACATAATATACATAAGGAAAATATAACAGATAATAAAAACAAAAAGGACGATATATAATATATTTTTTTATTTTCATTTCAAAGCATTTTAAATGTGTATGCTAGGCCTACACCTAAAATAATAAAATAAGTAAATTATTCAGGCTGGGCTAAAAATATTACAAAAGGCTATAACGTGTATTAAAAATTTATAAAACCAGACCTTTTTTTTTTTTTTTTTATATTAGTACAATTTTTTTTTCATTATTTTGCCTACACTTGTAAAATAGGCTGCTTATTTTAGGCTTAAAATGCTAAAATGCTTTAAAAAACAACAACAATAAAGAAATAAATAAGGAATATACATATAATAAAATATTTAAAAAGTATAAGCATATTTTTTCAAGCTCTATACTAGACCCACACATAATCTTGGGATTAAAATAAATAAGCAAGTAAATAAGTGATTAAATAAATCTTTTTAATATTTTTATCATGTTTTAAATCATTTTTAAATAATAAATAATTATTTTTTAAAATAATTTTGCTAATATAATTTTGTATTTTACGGATGTATAAAAGCAGACCCGCATACTCAAAACATGAAACCTAGTGTATAATAAAGACTTTTGCAATGTGAAGAGATAAGGTGGCATATTAACCGCATGTGAATGTAATCTCTGGCTGTGGCCGGCTGGGAGAGAGCGCTTTGTTCTAATTGCCTTGATCACCTTCCCTCTGAGCGCACAACAAGCATCTGAATTAGCTGTTGCTAAGGAACAGTCGATTCTCATGAATGCTGGTCTCTGCACGACCCCAACAAATGTGGAAAAAGTCAATAGACCCCATACGTCTCCTCGTACTTGCTGACCGCCTGTGCGCTAATTAAGAAAGCGGCAATGCTGTGCTATTGTAACATGCTTTACATAATGTGCTTCACACAACAGAAGCGACATTCTAACAAAATGACAAAATGTTATTAGGAACAAAGCCACCTTAACAGGTATGCTGTGTACGATTTTCCCAAAGAGTCTGCCATAAAGTGCAGTAAAATTGAAGCCAAATTCATTTATATGGTATTGAAGGTGGTTCATTCATAGCTTTGTTTTACTAGTATAGTCATTTTAAATGAATACTTAAGTAATTAACTTTTTAGCAGTACTAACGACTGACATGTTTCATAAGTGTGAAATGTGTTAAAGAAGAGATATGGGGCATTTCTCATGTCCTGTGGGTGTGCTGAGGGGCCACTGGGCGTCACATCCTAAATGTTCATGGGTTTTCAGTGTAATCTAACATTTCAATTCATCTTCACTCTGGTCTTGCCACCAAAAATACACATCATCATAACCTATTATGTAATGAAAAGTATGGATGCATAATAAACTGGTGATGTTATTGTTATTAATAATTAGCATTCTTTTTTCTTCATTTGATGTATGTCAATTATGAAGGCATTAAGTAATATGTTATATGCATAAGGGAAATATAATAAATAATAAAAACAAAAAGGACAAAATTTAATGTTTTAGTTTTAAAGCTGTGTGCTAGGCCTACACTTAAAAATATTACAATAGGCTACAACATGTATTAAAAAATTTATAAAAACAGATCATATATATATATATATATATACTGTATATACACACACTACACTTGTAAAATAGGCAGCTTCTCTTAGGCTTAAGATGCTTTTTTTAAAATGCTATTAAAAACAGGCAAAACAATAAATATTTATAACCAGTCGTCATCGATGCCAATATTTACAGAGTGCAATGCTGAAATATGTATGGCATCAAATAAGATTGTACACAAAATGGTACATTTAAATTTTAGAACTTATTTTATTAGTTGTTTATATTCACTACAAAATACCTAAAACAGGAAATGTTTATGCATTGATATTTGCCAGAATTTATCCATGTTGAAAATTTCAAAATAGCCAAATACTCTACCATTCAAAAATGTGGTGTTGGTAAGATTAAATAAATAAATATTAGAAATTAATACTTTTATTCCGTAAAGATGCACACAATTGATCAAAAGTGACAGGAAAGATATTTACAATGTTACAAAGGTTTACTTAAAAATAAAATAAACTTAAAATAAATGCTGTTCCTTCAAGCTTTTATTGAAAATAATAATAAATGTTTCTTGAGCAGCAGATCTGCATATTTAAATAGTTTCCGAAAGGTCATGTGACACTGAAGACTGGAGTAATGATGCTGAAAATCCAGCTTTGCATCACAGAAATAAATTACATTTTTAAATACATTAAAATAGAAAACAGTTATTTTATATTGTAATAATAATTTATAACATTGCTCTTTTTACTGTATTTTACAGCCTTGGTGGAGCATAAGAAAATCTATTCAAAAACCCGAGCCCAAACTTTTAGACAGCAATGTATTCGTCCGCCACTATTTATGATACTGGCCATAATATAAAAATAAAATTCAATATCATGCACCCCAATTAATAATATCTCTAATACACCTACTTTTTACATCTCATTTTTATTTATACATGAAATCTATGCGTTTCAAGGAGATTCTGATGATAATAAAAGCAAACACTAGATCCTGCACTTCTTTCCACAAGTTTGTTGCCATGAGACCTAACGGGTCTCTCCAACCTTTAAAGGCTTCCTCGAATGTTCTCGGGAATATTTTTTCCAGCAAACCGGCCCCTGTAAAAGCAGTACCACACTAAGCCAATAATGACCATCTACAGTAGCTCACTTTCAAATTGCCACTCTTCATATTTCCATACAGCAAATGACCAAATCAAAAAAAATAAAAAAAAAAGTGAGGAAAAAGTAGCAAAACTTTTTCAGATCCTTTGTATTTCAGTGCTTTCTTACACATTTAAAGCCATGACTGTATTAACATTACACTAATGTTTTAAAAACGTTTGCAGACATTATTTCCGGTTTATTTTCAGGTATGCCTGTCTGCTTTATATTCTCTGCATATGAAGATCAATATTAATCATACTGTAAACAAGCAGATCTGTACCCTAAATGAACAGCTCGATATAAAGCAAACGACAAATTAGATTCAATCACAATAATATAACATTAAAAGCCACTAAGAAAAAAAATCTATTAAAAACTCGCGTAACTTTTTGAAACAAACAGGAGAAAACGAAAGGAAAGTAAATGTGACGTTCATTTAATATATTTTTAAAACAAAACATTTCCCTGAAATGTGTTCACAGAACAATAATAGCACGTTTGACTGCTGTGTGAAGCTAAACTAACGTTACTCTGTTTGGGGTTTAATATTTAATAAAGCACAATTACTGAATATTATCATTCCATGTCATATTATATGTTGATATGTTCTTTAGTTTTCAGTTATATTAGTACAAAAACACACAAGTCTCCCAGCGCGAGCTGCTGTGAACAATGAGGCACTTAGCCGGTTCGGCTAGCTCGAGCTAACATATCTTCCAGGAAACGGACTGAATTGATACACGGTTTGGGTGAATTATCATCCGGATCCGCGTTTAACTCACCGGAGCAGCACCACGAGGAAGGGGGACCGTTGGGGAACCGGGTCGGATCCACAGTCATGCAGACACTGGAGCTGAGGTGAGGGCACTCCATGAGTCTGTGTGCTAGCTAAAGCACTAGCTAACCCAGTCTGTCCTCTTCTGGAGGATTTCTGTGGTGGTTTCAACTAAAAGTGCGTGTTAATAGGGAAAAAATGGGTTTTCGCTTTCCAGTTTAAACGTTTAAATGCCTGGGCAGTGATGTTGGTCTGCTAAGTGAGGTCAGGGTGTTGTTATGGTCTAAGAGAGCAGACATGCATGCTCCTGCTGTTCTGAAACTTTTTGATGCTGTGAATAAAACTATGGATAACAATATAATTACATATATTCTGTAAATGTTAACTTGTATTTATTTATTTAGTTAATAATAAAAATAAATGATATAATATAATTATTCATTCAGCTTATTTTTATTTAATTTTGTATTGTTTTATTTTATTTCTAAAGTGAACCCCTAAAACTATGACTAACAGTATAATAACATAATTAATTCTGTAAATGTTCACTTATTTTATGTTTATTATTGCAATCAGTTAGAGAAACATAAAACTATGACTAACAACATTAATTCTGTAAATTGACTCATTTATTTATTTTCACAATTTTATGCTATTTTTTTATTTGAAAACCTCTGCTTTATCATCATCCACTGATGTTCTCTCACTATAAAATGATATATACAGTTACCTGGCCCGTGATTCATTTTCCAAGCACCGACAGGCAAACAATGCCACATTTCTATAAGGCATTTAAGACCATACTGACATTTCTGGTTTAAATGTTTATTGTGATATGACCAGTTTAGCGGACATATAAAACAGTGCAAATAAAAATGGACTTCCAAATACAGTACAAAGTACAAGTAAATAAGCAACAGAACTATTATGTGCAAGCATATTTATCTGCACATCTTTAAAAAAAATTGTAAAAAAATTATTGCCCAAAAGTTTCAATGTACATTTGTGGTTTAAAATGTAAATTTAAGAGACTGTAGAGACTTCAAGAGTAGCAGGCTGTGCTTCTCCTCCTCCCATCTCAATGGACTGCTCTTTCAGCGGTTGCTCTGCTGACTTTCCATCTTTTTCCCCACGTTTCTTCGAGCTAGGCCTAGAAAATTCCATATTAAAATTGTATTTACAAAAAAAAATTTCAGTAACAAACAGTAAAGCCAAACATACATACACACACACACACACACACACACACACTAGTTTCCTAGTGGGTGCAGGACACTATAATTAATTTATGTAAGTGAGGATAGCAAAATAAAGTAAATTGTGACATATTATACCCAAAAATTCTACATACAGTGGACTACCAGTAAAACTGATAATAATTTGGGACCAAAAACTATTCAGACTCTTTGACCTGACCATGTTTTGCTTAAGTGTTATCTGACATTATCAAGATGAATTTGTTCTGACACAGTTTAACTCTAATTTTATTTATATATATATATATATATATATATATATATACTGTACATACATACTGTAATGACTTACTTATTCTTGACAGCAAAGACAATCACCACAATTAAAATAATGGCACCAATAAGACCAAACACAACGCCCAAGATAATTCCTGATGGGATAATAACACATTAATATCATCGAATAAAAAATTAGATTGAGTTGAAAACATCATATTTAAGTTTCACTTACCAATTGGTACATCTGATTCACCTGAATGGTCCTCGAGGCCTTGATCTATTCAAACAAATACACATTAGCATTCGCTTTTGCATATAGATCTCTGGGTAAAATCACTTTTAGCCACATACCTGCTGCATTGTAACATGTGGCATTGCACCAGTTAAGTGTGAGGAATCGGTTTCCGTTGCCCACACAGCCGGTCCAGTAGAAAGACTTGCATGTGTGATGCTCAGGACTGTAGTAATAACGGAGATAGTGACCGAAACATTCTCCTGGCTTCTTTGGAAGAGTGCAAACTTGTCTTGCTGTTAAAAACAGTGAAATGAAAAAAAAATATATATATATATATTGTTTCTACCACACGGTGGCAGTATTTTCTTAAGTCAAGCATTGTTTGGACAAGATTGAATAAACGAATGAATCATAATCAATCATAACGTGTATTTCATATATACAATTTTAGACATATGTGTGTAGAACAATTACCGTTCATAGGAAACAGTGCTTCAGCTCTGTGTGAACAGTTTCTCATGCACTGCTTCTCTGTTATAAAACGGTTTGCATTTCCACCACTCCCCGAGTATCGGAACGGATAACAGTTGTCTTTTTCTGCATCGTAGTACATATAAACTCGAACATCGGATTCAGGTCCCGTCCCTGCATCTGGCGTTAGACTGCAGGTGTCTAGATTAGACAGAAAGTGATTTGCACTGCATTATATCTGTGTCCAAGTTTTAGAAAATCACAATTTATTAAAAGCATCATTATATATGCTACATTATGCAAAAACAATAGAAGCAACCATGGAAATGGGAGTGATCTTTGTATCTTGAATGAGTAATGTGTAACTAGTCTGGCACAGTCCACACCTAGTTTTTATGAGTTGTAAATGTTATCTTTTTTTTTGTTAACGATTACTAGGGTTTTACACCTGTCCTGAACAGCCAGTGGCCTACAAAAACTCAAGACAATGGTTTCATTTGTACCTGTTACAGTTAAATATTCTCTTTGAATACATTTGGAGTCATAAATACAAGTAAATTTACAATTGTAAACAAACACAAAAATCAATTGCCTGATTCTCATTAATAATATCAATTGCAATGTCCTGTGTCATGAAAGGTGTAGACTCACTGGTCAATGGTGTAGTTTACACCATTTTTATAAGTTAAATCTATTCACTTGTCCGTCCCAATCTGTTAGTGTGTATTCATGTTCTTTTAATTGTATATGCTGTTGTGGCTTCATTAACTTTTCTCCACCATTTCTTTCTCCACTTTTTTATGTGACTGACACTTTGTGTAAATAGTATGCAAATTCAGTCTCATTTAAAATCTTATTTGTCATCACGATTTTGCAAGAATATAGATATTTTTTTATACAATCTTTTTTATATTTATAATACGGTTCTGCAAAATTCAGAATTTATCATTTGAATTAAATTGGCCACACCCCACAGGAAGTTGACTTGGAATGACAGGAAATGGAATTTACTGAATTACAATTCAAACAAATTCAAATGGAGTATTATTACACCCTAGCCTACTCTTAAACATGAAGATGTAACATTTCAAACAGATCTATACTTCTATCTTTCTCTTTGTCTTTAAATTAGTTTTATTTTTTAAAGTATTAATTCCAGGTTTGTCTCAATGCACCTTATTTTCTAGTTAAGAATTACACTTCAACTTCATATCATTTATTTAAATTCTAGATTCTTAAAATATAAACTGCAATTCTGCATAAAAATTCTGCATGAAAACACACATATACATATATACACATATACATACATACATATATATTCCCTCCTATTCGCTGCTAATGGCGAAATGACTTTCTAAGGTGTGACTGTCCACTGTCCATAGAAAGTTCAAAGAAGAACCTTTGCTCATGCTTATACATTTTTCACTTAACCTAATTTCATCACATAAAACATGGTTATGTTTTGTGTGATTTGGTAATTTTTTTGACCTTGAGAATAGTATTTTCTACATTTAACAACATGAAGTAATGAGGAAAAAACTAAGACCAAACCAGACATAAACCCATTTATCACTCATAACACAATTTAATATGTTGTTGTTTTTAATCTTACCTGATTTTGTTGTTTGGGCCTGAATGTTGTGGTTTAGAGCAAAAATGAACAAAATTATTCCAAGTTCCCTCATAGTGAACCACAAATGAACTGGTATAGATGAACGTTAGCAAATTATGATCAGGAAGGGGAGGATGATTTGCACTTTGTACTTTCTCAAGATAAGAGTAATAAACTCTGAGGAGGGAACAACAGACTTCTGACTGTAGATTAACAGTATGATTTGTTCCAGATAACTCAGAGACTGTTATACAGCAGTAAAATGAATCTTTATTATTTGCCATTCTTTATTTAAAAGCAGTACTTAATAGATGGCATTTAAACACTGTGAAAAGCTGTGTGTGTGTAATCCATAATCCATAATAATGCTTTCTCCAGTGAAAAAGTCCATCCCCTGTTGTCTCTCACATCAAAATACACCCAAATATTTGTTTAGAGCTGTTTTTTTTTTGTTTGTAAACTGTGCTTGATCTGTGCATATTTCTCTCCCGATTCAGATGAGACGACTTTTTCACTGGAGAAAGCAATGATTAAATGTCTTAATGATGGATTTGTTTCTTACAAACACACAGTTTTTTACTTCATAAGATGTTAACTGATGGACTGGAGTGTTGTGGATTACTTGTGGATTATTGTGATGTTTTATCAGCTGTTTGGACTCATGTTCTGACGGCACCCATACACTGCAGAGGATGAGGTGGGATGTTAGCTATTACTTTAATATATGTTTGTAGAAAATAGTAATACTGGAGATAGTGACCGAAAACATTGGCCGGACTCTTTCGGAAGCTTGCAAGCTTGTCTTTCTGTTAAAGGGGTCATATGATGCGATTTCAAGTTTTCCTTTCTCTTTGGAGAGTTACAAGCTGATTGTGCATAGATAAGATCCCTGAAGTTGCAAAGACTAAAGTCTCAAAACCAAAGAGATATTCTTTATCAAAGTTAAGACTCTGCCACGCCCCCCTAAAACGGCTCGTTCTAACACGCCCCCACATATCTACCTCACAAAGGGGAAGTCGTGGCCTAATGGTTAGAGAGTCGAACTCATAACCCAAAGGCTTTGTGGGTTCGAGTCTCGTACCGGCAGGGATTGTAGATGGGGGGAGTGAATGTACAGCGCTCTCTCCCACCTTCAATACAACGACTGAGGTGCCCTTGAGCAAGGCACCGAATCCCAACTGCTCCCCGGGCACCGCAGCATAAAATGGCTGCCGACTGCTCCGGGTGTGTGTTCACGGTGTGTGTGTGTTCACTGCTGTGTGTGTGCACTTTGGATGGGTAAATGCAGAGCACTAATTCCGAGTATGGGTCACCATACTTGGCCACATGTCACGTCACGTCACTATGTGGAAATATTAGCATAATGCCGCCCAAATGTACAAGCAAAGAAAGAAGGCGTGGTTTCAGTAACCGCAGTTAGTGTTGAAGCAGCATGTCAGGGAGACGCTGTGTGTTTCTAGGCGAAAGCA